CTGAACTGACTCCTCCCTCCTCTGGCTGCGTCTCCCCACTCGGGTGTTTCCGGATTCTCTCGGCGTCCTGCGCGTGCGCTGTGTAAGTCAGGGTGTAGTCGGGCAGACTGTGATTCTTCTTCACTCTTATGGCGGTCGACACAAAGAGCGGAGGGTCAGAGTCGTAGGAGCAGAACCGGAGTTAGAGCCACCGTACACGGCCTCCACCAGTCGAGAGACCCGCTAAAGCTACTTCCTCTCAGTCGGAGCTTTTCGCTCCCTCTTCGGGACTCTGTCGGTAACTGTCGGTAACGGAGAAAGTCACCGTTAACTTTCGTGAAGTTGAGAGGAAGTTTTTTTTTCCCCGTTTCTTTCCCATAGAAGCAGCGGGAAATGACGGTCGTCCTCCGAACCCTGGCGGCTTGGAGCTGCCTCCTCACTGCCCTCTGTGTCCGCGCTGCCATGGACGAGTGTTCGGACGAACACGGCCGAGCGCAGCGCTGCATGCCCGAGTTCGTCAACGCCGCTTTTAACGTGACGGTGGTGGCGAGCAACACCTGCGGCTCTCCGCCCGAGGAGTACTGCGTCCAGACCGGAGCCACCGGGGTCACCAAGTCTTGCCACATCTGCGACGCCCGGGACCCGAGGAACCACCACAGCGCCGTGTACCTGACCGACTACAACAACCAGCAGGACACCACCTGGTGGCAGAGCCAGACCATGCTGGCGGGGATCCAGTACCCGAACTCCATCAACCTCACATTGCACCTCGGTAAGAATCAAACCCTCCCCTCGGCTCCGCACGGACCGAACTCCTACTGACGACCCGCTGCTGTTTTTGTAGCCTGGAGACAGACTTTAGAGTCGGTTGGCGCTGCATTCGTTTGTGGCTAAAGGTCTGAGGGAGTAGAACCGCAGCCCAGGTGACACCGAACCGTGTGTTTCAGGGCTGACGTCACGCAGGCTGATGGCCTTAAAACGGACTTCGGCTCAGACCTGATAATTAAATCAGTTAAAGTTATGAAAACGGTGGAGAAAACGTGGACGACATACTTTGCATAATTGGGGGAGGTGTGTGGGTGGGGGGGTGAGGGGGGGGGGACTGCTATTTTCTGACCTGACTGTGGGGTCACTCATGGCAACTTCCCTTCCTGCTTCTGTGTGTGTGCGTGAGCTGTAGACTGTTGGCTGTGGATTTCTTTATTGTTCTGAAGCTGATCTTCAGGGTCTGTGTTTAACTGGGACTTAAAGGAGGTCCATGTAGGTTCTCAGTCCAGCAGGTCCTCTAACCTGAGGCAGTAAGACAGTCTAGGGTTCAACTCTTCATTCAAAAGAACTGAAGAACCCGACTGAACTGAAAAAGTGCTTTGGGTAAGAAATGTCTCCATGGACTTTGGTCTGAACTAAAATCTCTGATTTTCTCCATGGACTTTGGTCTGAACTAAAATCTCTGATTTTCTCCATGGACTTTGGTCTGAACTAAAATCTCTGATTTTCTCCATGGACTTTGGTCTGAACTAAAATCTCTGATTTTCTCCATGGACTTTGGTCTGAACTAAAATCTCTGATTTTCTCCATGGACTTTGGTCTGAACTAAAATCTCTGATTTTCTCCATGGACTTTGGTCTGAACTAAAATCTCTGATTTTCTCCATGAACTTTGGTCTGAACTAAAATCTCTGATTATCTCTATGAGGTTTGGTCTGTTTGGAAGACAGGGTTAGAAAGTGTTTTTGCATCTGTTCATTCAGATATGAGACATGTGATGTCATCACAGTGGAACAGTCAGATAGTGTGTGTGTGTGTGTGTGTGTGTGTTTAGCAGAGACTGAGCCACATTCCTCAGCGTCTCCTCTTCCTGCTCCTCACTCTGTGTTCTTTAGCAGATAAACATCAGGGTCTCTGTGGACAGGAACCTTTCTGGCTCGGTCTGTGTCTTGGTTTGTCTGTGTCTGTGGTTCTAATGCAGAAAAACCATGTCTGACAGAGAGGGGGTGGTGTTTCTTTCTACATCTGTTGGATGTTTATTTGGCGTGTACCAACCTGTGGGTCAGAGGAGAACATATGGGCCACACTGTGGTACACTGTCGGTGTGTACACCTGGATCATTGTAGTCTGGTTCACATTAGAACGATACCATAATCAGGTTGTCATTCAAATCTGTCTGAACAGTGAGCTTTAAGATGGAGGCTGTGAAGCCCCCTCCCCTACCCCCCCCACTAAAACACACACACACAGACCGCCCTCCTCCGTGTGTTTGAAGTTTAAATGCATGTCCTGACTTGTTGACAAAAAGACAGAAGGTTTCAGAGTATAGGACTGTACTCTCCACACCAAACCTCACTGAGAAAATCAGAGATTTTAGTTCAGACCAAAGTCCATGGAGAAAATCAGAGATTTTAGCTGAAGCTAATGGTGATGCAGGAACTGCTGGTCCACTGCTGCCTCCTGTGGTTAGTTTGTGTCACTAAAACAAAGGTTGAGAACTGAAGAAGCTTTTGGACGAGAGGTGAAACGTCTTCAACGAAGGATTTTAATTTTTTATCTTGTTTTTCATTTTGTTCTATGAAGATCGAGGTCGAGTCACACACACACACACACACACACGTACCTGAGTGACTCTTTGAAGTTCTGACATGAAGTCAAGTCAGTGAGGCCCAGATTAAAGAGAACTGGAGTCTTCAAGGGAGCTGACACCTGATTGTGTGTGTGTGTGTGTGTGTGTGTGTGTGTACACTTGTTATCCTGGTCCAGCTGTGCAGCTCTGGTCAGTTCCACCTCGCAGTTTCCCACGCTGCCCCCCCCCCTCCCCCAGTATTCTTTAAAGCAGCTGTTTCACTGCTGCTGTTTTTTCATGTAGAAGCTTCTGGATTTTTCCCACGCTCTGCTCCGACTCTGTTTCCTGTTCACACCAGAACAAAAACCTGAATGACTTTAGAGACGAGTCGACGAGACCAGAAGAAGACCAGGAGAAGACCAGGAGAAGACCAGAAGAAGACCAGGAGAAGACCAGGAGAAGACCAGAAGAAGACCAGGAGAAGACCAGGAGAAGACCAGAAGAAGACCAGGAGAAGACCAGGAGAAGACCAGAAGAAGACCAGGAGAAGACCAGGAGAAGACCAGAAGAAGACCAGGAGAAGACCAGGAGAAGACCAGACTGAAGGACCAAATGTTTGAAGCTCATATGGAAACAGAGGAAGTTGAAAAGTCTGTGACATCACGTGACCTCTGACCCCAAACACGCACAGGAAGTCCCCTCACCTCAGAGAGACTTCAGTGCCGCAGGCTGACCACAGGGGGCAGCAGTGGCGTTTGTCTTCAGTCTGTGTTGTGTCTCAGAGGAGAACAGAGTGACCTGAAGGCCTGACCTTTGACCTTCTGTCTCACTGTCCACCTCCGTCCTGCAGGAGCAGCAGGGTGAATGATGATGTCACAGTGACGTCATCACGTGGGCGGACTCGTCCTCAGGTCTTAGTGTTGCCTCGCTCTTGACCTTTGACCTCCTGTGTGCTGTATTGTACCAGCACAGCTGTCCAGACACGCCCCCTCTGAACAGGGGCGGAGCCAGAGAGTTCCCACGCATCGGTGAAAAAGTTATGACCTTCCTGTGTGTGTGTGTGTGTGTGTGT